GATGGTGATGGTGATGGTGATGGTGATGGTGACGGTGACGGTGATGGTGATGGTGATAATGAAGTGTAACTAAATAATGCTCAAATGCAAACTTAAAGATACTTGGACTGTAGCCGCCGTAACATTATTTAACACACATAGTTTTGACATAATTCATAACATAAGAGCGTGCGCACACCTAAAACTAAACTATCGCACAACGGTTTAGTCTCGCTATGATTACTGAGCTTATATCGAGGTACACTACTCGATTTTTAGTTGTGCAACTAAACAGTTGAATTGCGAAACAATCGACAATCGCACAACATTAGTGCGATAGTTAAGTCAAAACTGTGCGCCCGCTTCAATTATTCTTTGCGTCTAATTTTAATAGTAAATTGTAAGCTGGGTTTACAGTATACACTTTGGTTTACCGACAGGTATGTTATTTAATTATATAAAATTAGGCGTCAGAATCTAAAACGCAATTATGCGGTTAATCGGCTTCGCGCATGATTGTGGTTTCTATACAATTGCCTAATTTCACATTAACAATTGATTTACGTTGTACCATAGTTTGGGATTTGATATATTTTGTTTATTTTTTTTAAATTTATAATATTTGTATTTGATTATTTAATTCATAATTCTTATTATTAATAAATTTATTCCTTTACCAATGATATTTCTACTTTAATAAATACGTATGAAGACATTAATAAATTGTATTTTTTTAGCCTAAAATATCATTTATAACTTTTGAAGATACTACATTTTAGAATAAAATCTAAATAAATAAAAGTTTAGGACACAGATGGGGAGAGTTTAAGTCAAATTTTAAAATAATCACTTTTTAAAGAAAGAATATAATTTATTCTGCCTAAATAATTGTTATATATGTACATATAGCTATTAAGTATATCCCCAGACATCATTATACAAATATCATTATCGTTAACAACGTCAGCCATGATAATAACTTGAGCTGCTAATAACATCGATGTGCGGACTACGGAGGCTATACAAAATCTGTTTTACATATCCTTCAGTTTACACTATCATGAACATGTTCAAAAACAAATCCCTCTAGTTTACTTTAGATTTTTTTTAAAATAAGTTTTGAGAGTCAAATACACTGAGAAATAAAACATTTTTGACGTGACGTTTATTAATTACTTATTAAAAATATTGAAGTTTCAGATTTTATTAAAAAAAATAGAGTCTTATGATAAATCTTAACAAAACCCAACTTGTCTTTCGAACGTAGAGATTGAAATAATACAAATAGTTCAAAGTTTTTTTATATCTATTTGGGATAAAATAACTAAGAATACAAAAAAAACCTTTTCATGTCAGTGTCGCACTCTGTAATATTAAAACCCGCAGAAACACGCTGCTTCTACGTTGAACAAAGAGTCTTATTAGAAGTCTCTTTAACTTACAAAATATCCCAATGATTGTTTTCAAAGTTCTAGGAGCGTATCAATTTCCAGGCCACCGATATTATTCTTTTTAATTTACTATTATTTCGACATTAAAACCAGCAAAATCTCAGTACAAAAACATCTTAAACACAGTCTAAAACCACAACTATTAAAATTTCTACGTTAAGTAAAATGTAACCTTAAAACATTTTCATTATAATTATTTATTTCCTTAACGTGCATTTAACAATTTATTGCATCCATTGAGACCATTACTGTGTTTTAAAAGTTTTGCTTTTAGTAAAGTAGCAAAGTTTAACACATCTTCAAATTTATTGTTTAGTAACTACTACATTTATAAAACAAAGTCATCTAAGTAGAGGTAATGTGTGAAAATAAATGTGTACTTAAGGCTTACCCAAAGATCTTAGGCAAAGTATTTGTAATAAAAAGCAACAGGCGTTAAAATTGTACGAATATTACGAATGATTATAATAAAAATGATTCAGTTATAAGACCCATTTGCAGAGAAAGGTTTTTATAGCAAACAATAATTGCTAATTTCCTTCCTTGCGAGGCGAACCATTACAGTCTATTTTATTACAACGCGAATAAATTAGGGAGACAAGCTCATTTCATTGTTGTTTTTTTTTGTCTATTTATGTGTCGACAAAAGTGTCGTAAGTAATGTGGCGGCTCGTTATAAAAACACCAAAATATTAAAGAACAAGAATCTTGCATTAAAAGAATACATTTTCACATTAAAAATACTTTCACTGTTATTTTTACTAGAAGTGTTCTACGGTACATCCTCCGCATATTTTTTCCTTAGCGTTTGCCGTCCTGCGCCTCCCCTAATGGTAATAGCGTTATCAAAAGATATATCTTACAATGTTCCTTTTTAACACAATTGTCCAAAGAAGAAAACACTTTTTTAATAGATAAGCTTAGCAAAAAAATCATTGAAAATAAACTTATTCATCTTCTAGTAATAAAATGCTGTTTACAGAAACAATTCATTTCTAATTCAAACAACAAATATAAGTAGGGTTCATACGCTTTCTATAAATATTGACTTTAATTTCAAATAGACTTACGCTCTGTTTAACGAATAAAACCCTAAGTACCCAAAGTAAAGGTAAAAGATAAATAGTCTCTGCGTCAACACTCATTTTCTTGCTAATTTAAAAGCTTTATTATCTAATTTGTTGTTTAAATTTACTTATCAACCTCAAGGAATAAAAATACTAAAGAATAAATTCTAAATAACTAAGTTATCTTTACTAAGATCGTTTTAAATCAATCTATAACTTTAGCCCCGTTTATATTGTGCTTACGAACGATCCTTTGACCAATAGAAAACTCTTAACTTAACGATTATCATATCTATACTATTATCTTCTTCTTCTTAAAGTGCCTCTCCGACTAGCGAAGGTTGGCGGTCAGTTCTCCAAATTTGACCCTGTCTCTTGCGAGGCGAAACAGTTGGGCGGCACTCGCAATTCCTGTCCACTCTCGGATGTTGCGTAACCACGATTTCTTACGACGACCAA